GAAATTTTTGAAATGGTGTATCTTTGGCTATGTGTATTTTCACCACAAAAAAAAAAAAAGAGTTTGAGAAGTTACAGGGTTGATATGTTGTGGGGTTGTTAACCAATGTCATAAAACAACATGTGTACTTCTGTTTCATGAGAAACTATTTGTTCTGCAAGCCTTCACCTGAAGTACAATAAAAAATAAAAAAAATAAAAATCTATAGTAAACATTTCCAAACTGGAGCACACGTGCTTTCAGGGATGCATGAAGATTTTCCAAGGTGTAGGCAGGCATGAATAAGCTTAAGGGAAGCAATTTCAAGAGCCTCATCTGTCACATGTACTATTTCCTAAAGCTGATCCTCTGGAGAACCCACCCGCCACCTCTTTCCTCTCTCAAAATTGCCCTGCTTTCACTGTACAAAAGAAAGGCATACTTATCATTCCTCAAAATCTGACTATGGTGCATTGCCAAGGAGAAGGAACAGCCTCCTGTGGGGGTCCAAGCAAGGCAAGATGATTTCAGATTGTGATGACTGCTATAAACAAAAAAAAAAGGCAACATAATAGAGAATGATGTGCGGGGGGAGTTACATTAGATGGGGTGAGCAGGGAGCCCCCTCTCAGTAGGCACCACTTGGATGGAGACCTAAATGATGAACAAGAAGTTTGTCATTCAAAGATCTGGTGTCCTGGCCAATGACATTTGCAAAGTTCAAAGCCTTTGAGGAAGAAAAGAATCATGACCATCTAAAGGTCATTTATGTTTTATTATTTCAGGAATTTCAGATTTCTGAAGAGTGTATTCCTTTAAGTAGAGTTTACCTCTTCTCTGCCTTGCCCTGTGCAAACTCAGAGGGTAGTTGTTGCCACATAGACTCTGGCAAGGAGGCAAAAGTGGATTGTTCCAGAAACGACCACTGGATGTCATTTACGGAGGGTAGATAACCTCATGTTTGCGGTGGCTTAAATGGATTCTAAGAAGGCCTTCTTGAGTCATCTGTCTCCCAGGTTTGCTGCCTCTGACATGTCTCCCCAGCCCTGCCCTGAACCTGTGTTCTAAGCAAGTACTTCTGGATCTGCCTTGATTTTGTGTGTGTGTGTCTATGTGTGTGTGTGTATGTAGAGGAGAGGGGCTGAGGCGTGCCAGGGGCCATTTAAAATTCTTTGTAGATTCTCAAAACTCTTAATATTTAAAGGCCCTGCCCACCACCACCACCTCCCATCATATCACGGTCAGCATGTGTAATTTTTTCTATAAAAAGTTTGAATTTTTGTAGTTGCTTTTGAAAATATTTGACTACCAGCAGCTCATTTGATTATGATGAGGTCTGATAGCTTGACAACTTCAGGCATATTTGACATTACTGAAAAATGAGGAAGTCTAACCTACAAGTTTTTTCATATGTAATGAAATTTTTATGAATTCAAAATCTTAGCAATTAAGGAAGTCGATATGGCATCCATAGTGTCCAGCAGGTGAAAAGGCCCCGCCCCTTCAGCCTGGGAACTCTCAGAAAGTGCTCCGCTGCTGGTTCTCCACCACGGCCCAGGGCAGAGCTCTGCGTGGGCTTGCGGGAATCCACTTGCTGTGGCGATTAGACACAATGACCTTGGAAAATGTGGAGAATCCTGAATGAAAATTCGACCACGCTATCTAAAACACAATGCAGTTTATTGAAGATACAGAAGACAGAAGTCCTTTCTTGGAGCCAAGCATACCACTCATGGGAATTAAAGCGCCAGCATGAAGTGGGGACAAGGGGAGCCCCTGGCTACAAGGGTAGAGAGAGGCGTGTGCCCAGGGCTGGCTGGGACTTTCCCATAAGGCAGAGGAACATGGAGCCGGGGCACCTGCGGAGCAGAAGCGATGACATAGCCCAGCTCCTGGCACTGCCCTTGTGGCCTGGCCTTGAAGGGTAGAAGTTTTTTCACCTCAGTTTTCCTTCCCAGCAATGCTAGCCGTCTGAGATGGTGGGGCTCCAGGTAGCAGGCCAGAAGACGCCGAGGGAGAGTCCCACAGGGGAGTGGGAGAGCACGCAGAGCTGGGGTGTGCCGGGATGAGGGAGGCTGGGAGCCCAGAGATACCTTGGGCACCCCGTTCAGAATTTGTGGTGGGGCTGCTGGCTCTGGGAGGAGCTCTGGGAGACGCGGGCCGAACAGCCGCTGCTGCTGCTGCTGCTGCTGCTGCTGCTGCTGCTGCTGCTGCTGCTGCTGCGGCCGCCGCCCCCGCTGACGACACACAAGCCCCCGGAATTGGAGAAGTCCCCGCGCACCGCGGAGCTCCCTCTGTGCCCAGGCCACTGCGGGCGCTCCCGCCGCTGCGCCCCGCGCCACCGAGGCCCCCGCTGCCTCCGAAGGAGCCACCCCGGCCTCCTCGGCCCCCGGGCGCCTCCGCCCAGGCCGCCTCCCAGGGCGCCGCCGCCGCCGCTGCTGCTGCTGCTGTTGCTGACCATCTCTGCAAAAAGTGTTAGGGTCAGGGAGCCTCCAGGGTATCCACCCGCACGCCCGCCCCTCCAGCCCACAGTCTGTCCAGCGGTCTTCCCCGGGGTAATGTCACTCTGAGATTCCGCCTAGTGTGGGGAGGGCAGGTCTCAGGAAGGGAGCAGAGGTTGGCTCCTCTGGTACCCAGAGCCACAGGGTTACTCCTGTCACCACCAGACAGCTCCTCCCAGCTTGTGGGTAGAATGAGCTCACACCAGCTGCTGGCCCACAGTTTGAGAAACATTATTCCAAGATGTGCAGCCCCTTCCCAGAGAAAGCCACCCTGCTCACCGATGCTCACGGCACTCTGGCACTCCCCAGACATCCTGTTGGAGAAGATCAGAACTCAGTGTTAGCCATCTGCTCTCAGGTCCTCCCTCTCCCCAAATGCACCTTTCTTAGGTCAACAGCAAGGAAAGACTTCGTCCTCCCTACCCCTGCCTAATTCGTGCAAGAATAAGAAATAGGCTGGAAAGGTGCACAAAATTTCATGAAATGCATTCCTCTTTCTGTTGGATAAAGCTGCATCTAAATCGTTACCCTTTCCATAAACATTCTCCCAGAGAGTAACAGACTGGAGGATTATTCCTGGACCTTCCTATCCACTCCCTAATTCTCAGGATCCTCTTTTTGCAACAAATATTATTTGAACCCAAATGGGAACAGAGCCATGAGCCAACCTACAGGAACCCGCCCTTCAAAAACTGCAATTAAGGCAACAGTAAAATTTTAAAAAAAAAGTAAAATGACCTAGAAATAATACTTGTGCCTATAATTTCTCCTCTTTGGAGACACATTTTACAACTAAAACATAGGGGTATGAAGAGTGTAGAAATCTACCCAGGATAAGGCTCTGATGGTTCAATATTGCATAGGAAACACAGCACTCTTGAAGGTCTGGCAGCATCTTACAGCCTTAATAGGAGGAGGCTGTGCCTGCCAAGGGCCACCACCACTTCCAATAGCACACATGTAAACACACGCACATACATGCATACACACACCATGCCTGGGTACAGGCTCAGGCAGGAAAGCCTCCAGGCCTCTGGGCCACCTGGGAACCAGGTGGACTCTTGCTCACCTGCACTCCTCACCCTCCAGAAGAGTACGGTAGGTGGCTATCTCCACATCCAGGGCCAGCTTGACATTCCTGAGCTCTTGGTACTCATGCAGCAGCTGCGCTAGCTCCTCCTTGGCCTGCTGCAGGGCAACCTTGAGGTCCTGGAACTTGGCATTGGCATCCATGAGGGCCGTCTCCCCTCGCTGCTCAGCATCAGCGATGGCTGTCTGTAGACTGGCATTCTGGGTATGGGGGGACAGGAGTTCAGTTTAGATTCAAGTGGCCATCACTGAAGGCCTGCCCTGTGTGCTTGGTGTTTGCACATGCATTACCTTACACTGGGCTAATGAGAAACGTACAGCTCAGGAAGGTTGAAAGTTTTACAGTTGGTCAGTAGTGGAGCTTGGAGTTGGATCCTAGTGCACCGAGGTGTGAAGTTAGCAACACCTGGTCCAAGGACCCTTTCCAGCTCAGGAGGAGTCAGACCATTCCTGTACCTCTCTCTTCTTTTATGGTGACTGAGCATCTTCTAAAAATTTATCTCCTTCAGGAAGTCTTCCTGAATTGCTAGAGAAACCTACTCCCTACCTCAGCCCATCAAATGTGGGCTTCCTTGGCTACTCTCTCAACTCAGTCTTCACATAATCAGCTTCTTTCCCTAACCTCCCTAAACATGTCTGTACTCGGTATTTCTGGCCCACATCAGCCTTCATGCTCCAGAGAGGCAGGACCTGGGTTCACATAACAATTTTTGTTCAGGGCCCATTCTAGAACTGCACTGGTAAACTTTCATAGAGCATATGAGTTGGAACATGAGTTCAGTTTTAACAAGTGCTAAGCCTTGAGCTTTATGGTACAAGCACAAGCCCTCAATCTTGTACATGTGCTTTTCCTCCTCGTTCCCACCTGCTTTTTGACACTCTCAATCTCTGCCTGTAGCCTCTGGATCAGTCTGTTGAGCTCCGAGATCTCACTCTTGGTGTTCTTCAGGTCATCCCTGTGTCTGCCAGCCATGTTCTCCAGTTCTCCCAACTGTGTCCAGAGTACTCACACCGTCAGAAAGTCAGCAGTGCCCTTACAGATTGCCTAGTCCAACCCCTTCATGTCACAAACGGGAAAGCCAAGATACAGACTGTGACTTGTGCTAGGCCACCCAGTTGGAGGCTGAGGTGAGGAGCCAGGTATTCTGCCCCTGATACTCTTTTCCCTGCATCAGGTGGCCTGTCTCCTAGCCCAGTAGCTGCTGTTTGTTGAGCAGCCACTCTGTGCCAAGTCTTGCTCTTTATCTCATTAATGCTCACAACTGTCTGAAGACATTATTATCCCCATTTCACTAATAAGAAAACCAAGACACACATTGCCTGACCATGAGCAGAGTCATCCAGCTATCTACTAACAGTGCCAGGGCTTGAGTAGAGACATTTCAACACCTGGTGCCATCTTCTTAATCAGTAGACTACACTCTCTTGAGCAGAAAAGCCAGGAAAAGAGTCAGATGTAGATGGGCCAACTGTGTCTGGCTCAGCTTTTGGGAATGAGAAGGTAGCGGACAGAATTCCCTTCACCAGTAGTCTGACTTTTCTCAATCTCCCTCCCTCTCCCCTCCTTCCCTTTGCTATTCCAAACACCATGTTCAACATCTCAGTGTTATCACATCAGAAAGCACACACCGGCATGGGACCAGATTGGTAAAGGAAAATTAGAAGATCCTTTAGCATTAAAAAAACAAAGAAGAGAATGCAGCTTGAGGGATGTAGGTTAAGAGTTTCTCAACCTTGGAGCTATAGACATTTGGGGCAGGATAATTCTTTGCTGGGAGTGGATGGCTGTCCCATGCATTACAGAATGTTTGCAGCATTCCTGGTCTCTATCTACCAGATGCTAGTAGCAAACTACCTCCCAGGTGTGACAACCAAAATGTCTGCAGACCTTGCCAAATGTCACCGGTGGGGTGGAGATCAGGGAGGGGGGAATCATATCTCCCAACCCTGTTGAGAAGCTCCAGGTTAGAGCAAAGCAGAGCACTCTGGTTAGGAAGGAAGAGCTCTGTTAGTGAGAATAGACCAGTGGGAAGGTCATGGAACCTCCATGCTGGAGATTTAAAGAAGAATGGCTCAGAAGCAGGGTCTGACCTGCATGCCCCTCTAGGTAGGTTACTTGGGGAAACAAGAGTCTCCACAGCTACATAATAGTATCACTCACCTTGGACTGATACACGGCCTCGGCCTCAGCCTTGCTCTTCTGGGCGATCTCCTCATACTGGACACAGACCTTGGCAATGATGCTATCCAGGTCCAGGCAGCGGTTGTTGTCCATGGACAGCACCACAGATGTGTCACTGGTGTCTGACTGCATCTGGGACACCTCCTGCAGAGCCAGGCAGACCTGCCCACTTCTGAGAAGACCCACCCCGGGGCTCCCCAGAGTACAGCAGGCCACCAGCTCAGGAGGGAGCACGTGGGACTGACTGAAGAACAGGCCTTGGTGGCAATGGCCACTTATTTCACTAAAGAAGGAAGAAGGTGAGGCAGAGGTTTAAACTGCCTAGGTAGAGAGCAGAACTACCCACCAAGGTGGACAGCTGTTCTCTTTTTTTCAGAAGGACAGACAGGACCCAAACTCCTGCTGGTGAGCCTCTGCAAGCCATCTCCTCACAGAGGTCGGAGGCAGGTGGTCACGAGGTTGGGAGATGAGGAGCACACTTACAGAATTGTAGAGGGCCTGCAGGAAGTCGATCTCATCCTTCAGGCTCTCCACCTTGGCCTCCAGCTCCACCTTGTTCATGAAGGTGGCATCGACATCCTGGAAGAAAATTCAGCCATTGTCCCCTAAGCATGTTCCTTCACCTCCCCTATCTCATGGGCTCAGTGCTGTCCTGGGCATAGATGCGAGAGGCAGGAGGAAGGAGCCACAAGGCCTGCCCCCAGAGAGCTCCCACTCAGGGGAAATGAGACACCCATCCAGGCACAGGCAGACAAATGCCAACAACACTACTAAACTGGGTGTTTAGTAAACAGGCTGAACCAGAGAGCACACATCAGGGAAGAGCAAAAAGAGACTTACATCAGGGTGAGATGAAGGATGTGGGCTGGGCTGGGGCCATTACACGGAGACTAGGTGAAAAGAATTTGTGAGGAGAACCAGAGGAAGAACTTTCAACTTGCTGAAGAGAATTCTACCACACACAAAGACTCTCTTTAAACAGCTCCTGAGAATGCACTCCTGAAGAAAAATGATTTCTTCTCTTTGTCCATTTTTCAATCACAACTCAAGGCCTAATCTGATTCATAAATCCCACATACCTACCAGGAAGGGCTATGGCAAATGTCTGGTGGGCCTTACATACTCTCCTCCAAGGAAGTAGGGAGACAGCTAGTGCCTGAGCCACAGGCCCTGCCCACTGCTCAGGTGACTGACTCCCTCCCTGTTCCTGGCCCTCACTCACATGGTCTCAGGACAGCCCTCCAATTAACAGGTAGCTGCTGCTCCCCTCAGCTAATAGGCACCACTCTGCTTAGCAAGGCTCTGGGATGGGAAGTGGGGGAGAGGACCCCTCACCTTCTTTAGGACCACAAAGTCATTCTCTGCAGCTGTGCGCTTGTTGATCTCCTCTTCATACCTGTGAGAGAAGCTTCATTTCCCACAAGTAACTTGGATTTGGGGCTTCCCATAAGTAACTACCAGATTAGATCAAGGTCTGTGTCATTGCAAGGCATGGTCTGCAGCCTTCTGGGTTTCTGTTGGACCCAGTCCACTCAATAGGTATTTACTGAGCACTGACCATGGTGAAGGAGGCCTGGTGGCACAGGGGTTAAAGCACTCAGCTTCTAACTGAAAGGCAGTGGTTCAAACCCACCAGCAGTTCTGTGGGAGAAAGATGTGACAGTCTGCTTCCATAAAGATTTATAGTTTTGGAAATCCTATGGGGCAGTTCTACTCTGTCCTATAGGATCACTATGAGTCAGAATCAACTCAGTGACAATGGGTTTGGTTTTGGTTTGGGACTATGGCGATGGTGATGGTGATTATGGGGCACTGGAGTAGAAGCCCCTTCTTTGTGGGGTTCTATTTGGATTAATCCTGGAAGTCCTCCTGGAGGAATTTGGGTTTTTAAAAACTATTTACGTGACCAGAGGGAGATGGCTGAGCTGCCAGGAGTTTTGGGGGGAAGTGACTGGTGCTGAGCCTGTGAACAGCAAGTACTGTAGTACCATGGACTCTTGTAGATATTTGTTGGATGAATGAAAACCAAGAATGGGTCACTGAGGATATGCCAGTTCCTGCTCCATGAATTATACTTACATTAAAACATTCAGTCCTCATAACAACCTATTAGATAAATACTATCACTTTCTCCATTTTGTAGATGAGGAGACTGAGCCACAGAGAAGGTAAGTGTCAGAATGCAGCTTCATCAAGACACTCGCAATCCAGAGTCTGTACTCTTAACCATACAGCAAGTTGCTTCTTATTTAGAAGTATATTGCCAGGGAAAACAAATTTCATAGATTACAGAGTTGTAAGGGAACTTCAAGATTATCTATTCCAGGGTGGGTGGGAGTGTTATCTTGACCTATAAGGTTCACAAATGAATTTCAGGATGTCTTGGAACCCAAAAATTATATTTACATATAATTGAGTCAATTCTGACTCATGGTGACCCCATGAGTGTCAGAGTAGAACTGTGCTCCACAGAGTTCTCAACGGCTGATTTTTCAGCAGTAGATCACCAGGCCTTTCTTCCGAGGCACCTCTGCGTAGACTCAAACCTCCAAACTTTCAGCTAGCAGTTAAGAAGATTAACCATTTGAACCACCATATACTTATAAATTCTTTCGTTAAATTCCAATTCCCAAAACTGTTTCTGCTACAAGTAAGCCATGAGCCATTCTTTTAAAGTCATTGAGGCAGGAGGTGAATTCCTACAAGCCCACAACTAGCTGGAACAGAGCTAAACTGGAGCCCAGGCTTCTTAGACCCTAGGCCAGGCCTCCTGTCATCGGCCCCCTCCCACCCCAGCCCCACCCCACCCCACCCCTAGCAACTAGGCAGCACGCACTTCTTCTTGAAATGCTCCATCATCTCCTCCATGCTCCTCAGCTCCCCCTCCAGCTTGCTTTTCTCACTGAGCAGCCCATCCAGAAAGGCCTTGAGGCTGCTGATGTAGTTCTCAAAAAATGGTTCAAGGTTGTGACTGTCAGTGTTAGAATCGGAGCCCTGATCCTGCAGGAGGCTCCACTTTGTTTCCAGGACCTTGTTCTCTCCAGGAATCGCACCTGCAGCCCAATAAGAAAAGAGCATCAAGGAGCTGCGAGGGGCCATCTCCAATCACGACAGCCCATGGCTTCCTCAGTGTTCTTCCTGCTCCTCCTGCAGGGGTACAATTTTAATGCTGCAGTAGTTTAATGCTAACAGCAGGTGAACAGCAAAGTTCGTGTAATGCAAGGGAGGTGGAGCCCTATTTTGCAGATAAGGAAGCTAAAGCTGAGAGATAACCAAAGTCACACAATAAGTTAGTAACAAAACAGTAGCAGAACTGAGGTCTCCTGATACCCAGGCACAATGATCTTCCTACTACATCGTTCATTCATTCATTCATGGATCATGTACTGCTCAACAAACAGCAGGAGATTTCAGCATCCTACAGCAGATACAGTCTTCAGGAAGAGTTTACAGTCCTGGGTATACTGCTCTAAGACAGGGAAATAGAGAAAACTATGGAGAAATGGCTCTCAGGCAGACCTTTCCCCAGGCAAAAGGGTCCTGGATGCACGTAGGGTTGGTCTCCCTCTGCCAAACCTAGTTTCAGCCCAGTATTTAAACTGAACCACTGGTTTAAAATGTCTCAAACTTCATTTGCCGCAAAACATTTCTGTGCGTAAGTTAAAAACCAAATATGTAAGTAGATTGGTCATTCAACAAACATCTGCAGAGAACCAAGCATGGGCCAGGCTTTGTGCAGAACCCTCAGAATGGCAAAACCTTGGAATTCCCCTTTGAGAATAATAAGCACAGCTGATGAGAAGGCCTTGGGCAGCCAGACCCCACCTTCTGTGGAGAAGCAGTATTTTCAGCATCACTTTTTATCTGAATGAGTTTATCCAGAGACCCAGGTGTCTGCTGAGAACAAGATAGGCGCCTCTGGAAGGTCACTTGACTTTCAAGAGCTTCGCCTCTAAAAGAGGTGTGATGTTCTGATGTTAAGACCGACTTCTCCTTCAGCTTTGCCTAGGACGCTTACAATTGTGACAGGATGCCAAAGAGTCTGTACAAAGCTTTTCCTTAAGGCCTGATATTATCCCAGGGTCACAAAGAAATCTCCACGCGTTGTACCCAAGGGTACTGATAAAACTTTCAGTTAGGAGCTAACCAAGCCTAAATGCCATATAGGCACCATGATAATCGTCATGGTTTTCCTTGCATGGAATATCCAAAGCACAGAAATTCCTGTATAACATCTCTTCAGCCTTGCCCTCACATGTATAATGTATACAGATAACAAATGACCTCAACATCTGCAGCTCCTCACACTAAAGTCTTCCTGTGAGAACCACCCACCCCACCACCCCTCAAAAAACTCTCTCCTTCCTTCTCTTTAGGCTGATGACAGATTAACTCATCTCTCAAACACAAATTCCAACTTTGGCAGAATTGGCATCACTTTCAAAGACAAGCAGCTCATAACCTCTGTGAGGTGGAGAAGGAATTCTGTGTTTGGGTTTCAGAAGGCAACGGTGAGGGGACATCAGTGATGGCAACAAACAATCCCAGGAGCTACAGTCTCAGCAGTGCCTCTGACAAACCACAGTGATGGGGGAATGGAGTGAACAGTAACTCCAGCCAGTGAGGGACTGGGCTATTTTGATCACCTGCTACCAGGTTTAACAGATCTACCACCTGCCAATGTAACACAGAGGGCTTAAGGTCTAGGATGAACCCACTATTTTTCTTCCTCAGATTTACAAGGAAAAGAGGAAAGAGAACCAACTCAGTTAGGCCAGATTTTCTCTCTGTCCAGTTGGCCTGAGATGGACTCACCTTGTCAATGAAAGAGGCAAACTTGTTGTTGAGGGTCTTGATCTGCTCCTGCTCCTGGGCTTTTACTTGCCCAAACTGAGAGCCAGTCTCCACACTGAGGAGCTGCAGGAGGCTCTGGTGAATGGTCACTTCATGAATTCCACCTGGGAAGCCACCTGCACCACCGGGACCACCAAAGCCACCAGGGCCACCAAGGCCGCCAGGGCCACCAAAGCCACCAGGGCCACCAAAACCCCCAGTTCCTCCTCCAAAGCCTCCAGCTCCTCCACCAAAGCCCCCAGCTCTTCTACCAAAGCCCCCAGCTCTTCCACCAAAGCCCCCACCCATCCCTCTTCCACCACCTCCAAAACCACTGCTTCCAAAGTAGCCCCCGCTGGCACCCCTGAACCCTCCAGCACGGGTGCTGCCTCCAGCCACACTGATGGAGATCTTATTTGTCCTCCCAAGGCCGTAGGGACTCCTGCTGCTGAAACCTCCTCCCATCATGGCACAGGCAGAAGACCCACCGCCACCCCCTCCTGAGAGGGAACCCAATAAGGACTTGGTGGAGCTGATCCAGCTCTGGCCTGACACCACAGCTGAGCAGCCACTGAAGCCCTGGTGGCAGCCGCCCCCGCTCAAGACCTTTAGGACTGTTGGCTGTAACTGGCCTGGCAACTCATGGTGGACAGCAAGGTATTCCAAGGGAAAGGTGGACCCAGAAGGTTGGAGGAAACTCAGAAACCCTCTGAAGTTTGGGATCAGGGATGGCTCTTATATAGGGCCGGCGGGCTTGGCTGGCTGCATGATGCCAGCCAACTAATTGAGGTATTATCAGCTTTGGTTTGCCTGGCAGCAAGAGGTCGAGTCTAAAACTCACAACACACCTTGATAATCACCCCAAATTTCCAAATTCCTTTGTTTTCCCAGGGTTACTCACCTAAAATAAGCTTAAGTTGGGAGAGGGGCCATCCTGCAGGGCTGGACACAGCCCCTAATCCCTGGGGGACTTACGCTCCCATCATGGGAATGACAGGTCAGCGTTTCTCCTCTTCTCCTGTGTCCCCATGGCCACTCTGCCAGCCTATCTGGCCTCAGCAAGACAGTGGGATAGGTGCAGAACCCCAGCAAATGTAGGACCCCAGGCAAGGACCTTGGGAGAGAAGAGAGAGGAAGGGGGGGGGCTGTGAGAGAGAGAGACTGATGAGAAGAGAAGATTCAGAGGTTAGAGAAAGTACAGGATCTCCCTTTGGGATCCTGCCATCCAGGGAAGAGAAGACACACATATGAGATACATTAAGGAGCAAGTTCTCCACTACAGGTGCCCCTGAAACCTGGGGTCTGAGGGGCCTTGGAGGGAGATTTAGGGTGCAGAAGGAGGAAGAGGTCAGTCTGAGAAGACTTCCTGGAAGGATGGGAATGAGGAGTGGCTTGAGAGGAAGTAAAGGTTACCCCAAGAACTGTGGAAGAGAGTGAGCCGTCAGGGCAACGGGTGGGTAGGGAGGGGAAAGCTGGAAGAACCCCATCCTGGCAGGGAAGAGGCTGTAGACCAGCAGGTCCAGGCCAGAGGGACTACTGCCTTTCCTCTTCCAAGCTCACTCTAGGAAAATGAATCCAGGATTTCCAAAGCATCCTTTCCTCCCAACTAGAGGACATAACCTACACCACCTAGGAAGCTTGAATTCCTCACCACTAAAATTCAAGAATGATAATGCCTTATTCCAAAGGTTGTTGAGAGAATAATGCATGAGGAAAGTTCTCTGTAAAGTGTAATGTGTGCTGTGGATGTTAGTTTCTCTTATTAAAACTTGCCTTCTCCTCCCCTTTGGCAGCAAAGACCAGCCTTTGTGACCCCAGCCTTGGTGGCCCCAGTCTTGATGACCCCAGCCTTGATGACGACAAAACCCAAGATACCCAGTGAGTCCCTACGGAGCCCACCCTCCTTCTTAAATGCCCCACCCCTGTTTCCTCTTCCATTGTGACCCTCCCAAGTCACTCAGATACAAGCTCCTAAAGAGCCTTCCCCTCTTTCCTCTCACCTCCTCTCCTTTGCTCATCCCTGTGAGCTGCTCAGCACCTGTGCCTTCACCAGCAGTGCCCAGACATCAATTTCTGTGAGCTAACTGGGGGAAGGAAGCCAGTGACAAGTTAGCCTTCGGGAACTTCCAAAAAATGCACTCCTGTTCCCTTCAAGCACACAAAGTCATACAAGACCCTCAAGTAAAGCAGGCTAAGAAAACGTGGGCAAGTACAAGTTCTTCCTGATTTAGCTCTCTCTCCCTGAGAATTAAGTGTTCTCAGGCTGCCAGACTATCTACACACATGTACAGAGAGAGAGACAGAGAGATAGAGAGAGGGAAAACACACATACCATACATTCACAGAGCACACACATATAGACATTCATACTCACAAAACCACAGACACACTCTTATTTCTGTTCCCTGCCTAGATCTATATTCCCCACTAAGCCTTTATGTCTCAGATGGGCATTGCCCTCTTTGGCCCCTTCAAAACCAGGTGCCTCCCTCATTCCTCCAGGGCCTTTCTTCCTGCTCAAAGCATCTTGCTAATCTGTGAAACCAAGACACAGTAACTAGATCCAAAGGAAGGCAAAGACTGATGTGGGGATATATGCCATTTAAACATGGCTGCACTATTGACAACTGCAGCCCCCACAGGCCTCTATGCTGTATAGGACATGTTGGAGACTTGTCAGCGATAAGAAAGAGATTAGGCATGACTTGTTTTCCCAAAGCTATTGTCCTGTTACTGATGGGCTTGTTTACCTGAATTCCTTCTCCCTTGCCCGAAACTTATTGTTATTCACCCAAACAAAGCCCATTGTTCTGTTATTTGCTTCACTGCTTGCTATATTGACTATAAATAAACTCTTGGGACTGGAGCCAGGGTTCGACTCCTCAGAGTGACCCTCCTGGCCCCACTTCTCTTTAAGAGTTGTGGAATTGGTTATTGTCTCCGCCGCCCCGACCTTCGCCGCCGCTGCGACAGACTGAGAGTTAGGGACCAAGGTCTATCCCAACTTGGCCACTAAGTCTTCCTGCTGAGCTTTAGCTTCCTACTCAGAACAGTGAGGGCTTTGCACCTGAGCGAAGCTTTTCAAATTGGGCCCTACTGAAGTCTTGGGGTTAAGGAGGTTGGGGAGAAAGGTGGCAGCACTGGGCATTGCTCTAGTCTTACCTCCACCACAGTCTCTCAACCCCTCTATTCTGATCTCGTAATAGAAAGGGTTCTGTTGTTTACAAGCAAGTTTGAAACCTCCTGGGCCCAGTGCCATCTGAGGTCCCGTCCCATGCTGACATTCATGATGCTGAGGATAGTCAGGCCTGGGGAAGGTGAAGAGTGGGGTGATTTGGTGGCTGCGAGGGGGGCAGGCTTTTAACAACACATCACATAAATCTGCTCTCTTTGCCCACATGTGGGACTGATCCTGACTCCACAATCCAAATAGTGCTTTGGGCTCCAAACATAGTCTATGCCTTCATCAAAAAAGAGACCCCAAGAGCCAGTGAGGAGATGTCGCTACACTGTCTTCCTGCCCCCACTTATGGTTTTTAGATCCTTGCTACTACAGGGAAAAACTATAGAACAATTAATTGGTTTCCACCCCATGACAGCTGCCAATGACCTGGCCTAGTTTGAATATGTTGAGATGTATTTCGTACATCAAGAACAAATTCCAAAAAGATTGGGGTGGAAGTTTGGGGCTCTAATGAGGGCCCATTCTAAATACTTTGTTCCTGGCAAATCCCACTGCTAATCCCCCAAACCTGCAGACTATAAAAGCCCAGAAGCTCTCCTCAGGTGCCTCTTAGGGTGAGAAACGGAGTTTGAGGCTGGCCAGGAGTCTCCACCACTAGGATTAGCCCAGACAGGCCTTTCCTGGGGGTGAGGGAACAGCGGCCCAGTGCAGCCTCCTTTCAGTGGCCATGAATATGCCTCCCAGGCTGGCACCATGACCAAAGCCCCCTCTGCCCTTACTGGAGAATAAGGGAGGAAGAGGAGCAGTGGTTTCTGCCCTCAGGCACTCCAGGCCTCTAGGGACACAGGGTACTCAGACAAGGGTACTCAGGTCTAAGGACAGGGCTTGGCAGCTGAGGCCAGGGGATAGCAGGTGGGCGTGAGCGGTGCTAGGAAAGAGCTGTGCTAGTGTTAGAGCCTTCTAGGGGAGAAGTGGGTGGAGCTGAGTTAGGATGGGAGGAAACCAGGCCAAAGCAGGCCAGGAGGGCCTTAGCAGAGTCAGGATGGTGAGTGGAAGGTGAGGGACTCAGCTCTGGTTTCCTGGGGGAACAGTGCCGTCCTGTGGTCTGCAGTAGGAGCCAGCACTGCCCCTGAAGGAACTGTTCTTGAATACCAGCTGAGCTCTGAGCCAAGTCCCACTAAGGAGGGACCAACCTCGAGGCATCTGAAACCCAGTAAGAAAGTCTTGGGCCAGGCAGCTACAGCCCTGAACATGGCTCGGCACTGAAGGTGAGAGCCTCTGAAGGAGTGAGGCAGCCTCCTCAAAGTACCCAGACCCACCCACCCCGGAAGGCCAGCAGAGCAGTGCTGTGGAGTACACCCTAGGCAGAGGCAGCTTCCAGATACCTCTGGGCCTCCCTTTAGCTGGTTGTAAAGTGGAGCTGATAAACCTCTTCTCTCCCTGTTGAGTAGAGTAGTTGGGAGGGTCAGGTGAGGTAAGTATAGTCATGTGTCTCATAAATTGAAAAGGAGACACTCTGTGTTAACTGAGGTATTGTAATAGCAGCTGCAAGTCAAGAGATGTTTACTAGGTGGCAGGCTCTATATTTATCACTTCACAGACCGTACCCCATTTAACCCTCACAGCAACCCTATAAGGAAAGGCTTGTAGCTCCATTTTACAGATGAGGAAAACAGGCTCAAAGAAGTTAAATAACTTGTCCAAGTTCCCACAGACAGTAGGTGGAGAGTCAGGCCTCCAACCCAGTCCTGAACCAATCTGGAGCCCATGCTATGGAACAAGATGTATGGAAGGAAGTCTCCCTGAGCTGGTGCCCACGGTGCTTTCTGTGTCTGTGTCTGTCCCTCCCCAGAGCTCAGCTCACAGAACAAGCTCTGACTCTGAACAGTAGACTCAGAATTTCAACATGTTTGGGAAATGGCAAACAATTAAAAATGACTTAAGTGAAAGCACAACTTGTGGACTAGGGAGAAAAGGACCTGAAACTCGCTTACACATGGTCCTCTGGAGGGCATTTTGCATTATTCCTCTAACAAAGAGGATGGTTTGTGCTGCACCATCTCAATCCTTCCCAGTGAGGATCAACGGCCTGATTTTGCAAGCTGATTGGCCAGGAGAGGGTCACAGTCTATAGCCGGGGACTGCCATGACACTCAGCAGTTCATAGCTGGTGAGGTTTGTTTCCTCCTGATGAGGTCCCAGTGTGAAGGTCCTCCTCCCTCCCCTCATTCACTCACCCAGCCACACATCCTGAGCACCCACTCTCTGCTCTGCATTGTGCTGTTCTCCTCTGGCTGGCTCTCACTCTGCCTGTGGATCATGAAGAGTCCTTTGACGTAAAACCCCTTTCCCCCTTTCCCTTCCACCCTAAACCAACCCATCATTTAAAAACCCTGTTGCCACTGAGTCAATTCTGACTCATAGTGACCCTGTAGGACAGAGTAGAACTTCCAAAGAGTGGCTGGTGGATTTGAACTGCCAACCTTTGGGTTAGCAGGCGAATGCTTAACCACTGGGCCACCAGGGCGCCATCATTTAAGACCCAGCAAAAGGCGCAGACCCTCCATGATGACTTATAGGATCAGCTTGGCCCCTTGAGCTCTCCTGTCCTCCAGCTCCTGGGTTACCCACTGTCGCTACCGTGGCCACAAGTCAAATGAGAATGTTTTACTTCCCCCGACCCCCATCCAGTGTGGAGGCCCTTGGAGGGCAGGCTTAAACCTAGCACACACCCCCACAGCACCCAGCCAGCCTCATACAACTCGGGAAGTTCTTAGTTCTCTGACAAAGCCAAGCCATGGCCTCACAAGCTTACATGCCAACACGTAATAGTATCTGACATTTGTGGAATGTTTCCAACTTTTTAAAACCCTTTTGTCTATCTGACCTGACAGATAGACACGTTGCGCACAAACACACACCCACTTGTGACTCACAGACAAAATCATTTCACATAACCTCTGACCCCAAATAAAAATGACAAGAACTTTAAACATGAGCTAGTTTTGAAGACTGATGCAGTCGGAAGGTAGATGGTGCCTCAACCTGCCCATTGGCTCTGCTTCTGCCACAAGGCATGAAAATTACAGCCATGACTGTGGGGACCATGGTCTCGGGGAACATCTGGCTCAATTGGCATAACACAGTTTATAAAGAAAATGTTCTACATTCTTCCTTGGTGAATAGCATCTGGGGTCTTAAAAGCCAGTGAGCAGCCATCTAAGATACTCCACTGGTATCACACCTTCAGCAGCAAGTGAGAATGAAGAAAACAAGATACAAGGGAAAGATGAGTCCAAAGGACTAACGGACCACAACCACCACGGCCTCCACCAGACTGAGTCTAGTACAACTAGATGGTGCCTGGCTACCACCACTGACCGCTCTGACTGGGATCACAACAGAGGGTCCCAGACGGAGCTGGAGAAAAATGTAGAACAAAATTCAAAAAAAGACCAGACTTACTGGCCTGACAGAGACTGGAGAAACACCAAAAGTATGGCTCCTCGACACCCTTTTAGCTCAGTAATGAAGTCATTCCCAGGTTCACCATTCAGCCCAAGATTAGACAGCCCCATAAAACAAAACGAGGCTAATGGGCATAACAGTCCAGGGACAAGGACTAGAAGGCAGGAGGGGACAGGAAAGCTGGTAATAGGGAACCCAAGGTTGAGAAGGGACAGTGTTGACATGTCATGGGGTTGTTAACCATTTTCATAAAATAATATGTGTACTGTTTAATGAGAAACTATTTGTTCTGTAAACCTTCATCTAAAGTACAATCAAAAAAAAAAATTACAGCTGTGAGGAAGGACCAGGCCTGAGGGGTGTTCC